TATAATAAATATTATTAGAATATTATATGGATTTATACATCTGGTTTTTTAATATTCCGAAAGTAATGAATAAAACTAACAATTTAATATACATATATATCAATATTTTATATAATTCTGTTACTTTAACTTAACGAAATAGCTGAACCTCGATTTTATATATTTTAATTGCCTTTAATAGATTTATTGAAACATTAAGTATAAGTAAAATTACTTATTTTCCAATATAAGATTATTCACCTTAGTTGAAAGAATTTCGAACTAAAATCAATGATATTAACCTTAATAATAAATATTTATTAATGTAACAACTCAATTTCATAATAGTATTCGATTTAATTCATATTTAAATTAAGTATATAAAATTCATCAAGAAGTTGAATAATTTCTTTTTAGATAAATGGTTTTGATTGGCCTGAATTTTATATTACTTTTTTCATGCAAGTTTTGACCATCAGCTGAAATTGATTTCAATTATTATTATTAGATATTTGATTACTGATCATTGAGAGAAGTATTTAATTCTTTTAATAGTTCTCTTCTGCTATTTTTTATTTTTCTTTGAAAGTTTTTTACTGCTTAATTATTTATCATCAATTTGGAGGTATGTTTTGGATGGTTTCTTTTGGTGGCTTATTTTTATTGTTTTTCTTCATATTTAATTGTAGCTTAGTAATACTTTTCCATTAGTATTAGAGATATGTTATTTTCGGATTCCTTTTTACTAGTTAGCACCCGTTCTCTTGAAACTTTCACTAGAGGTACATCCATTAATTTGGCCTCCTAGATACTCAATCGACTCTTAACCGATTCTAATATTTGCAAGGAAAATCTATTTTAAGAGCTAATTTGTTATTCCTTATTCGATATCCTATTTTAAGAAAGCTATTATGGTTATATCATTTTCGGATGAATTTAATATTTTTGAGATTTACTTCTTTATTTATCAGCCAAACTTTTTTTTTACGAATTGCTCAAATATGGAATCTTTTCCAATTCAAATATTTTTATCTTCTCTTTTAAAATGTCTAATGCTTTACTTCCAAGACTTTCCTCAGGCTCTGTTTTACATAATGCATTGTTTGAATACATTAGTGAATTATGCATAAAATATAAATAATTATTATTAATATACAAAGTTGTTTTACTCAAATAAATTTCTTAATGGCTTTTTCGAGTTATCCTGTATTTTTACCATGAGTTGACAATAAATTTATCAACCTTTAGAAAGATCTTCTCATTCTATCAGAAGAGAGAGGCTCCTTTTTTAAAAACTACTAATTTTCCTTCTAATACTATTCTCTGATTGTAATTTCCTATCAATAATTTTATTAAATACGGATTCGATATTATTGATTATGTGTTATAATTAATCTAAGGGTAATAAGGTTAACAATTAGAAGTAACTGCCAAGCTCGAAATCTGGAATTTCTTTTACATTTATACTTGATATCAAATTGTGTAAATGATTTTTTGGTACATCATTACTCCATTTAAAGTGCATTTCAAATAGGATTACAATCATTATCCTTTGAGAAAACTATTATTGCTGCACATTTTAAAGTAAAACTTATATGATGTCATTTGCCATTAAAGTCTGATAATCTCCAAGCTGGGTTAAATTAAATACAAAGGATTGCAAAGCCAAGTCACTAAATGCAGAAACGCCTGTCTTTTTAATTCGATTTAGTAAGGATTGTGTTATAATACTTATTTCTAATTTTTGAAATTAATCCTTAAGTTTTAATAAAGCAGTAAGCAATATTGTAGACTCTTTCGGGGTCATATTTTGAAAATCTTGATTTTCTGCAAAGTTTGTAATCAATAGCTTATAGTAGGTTTTATAGAATTCAATAATTTATCCTAAATATGTTGCCTCTTATTCTAATTCAATATAGAAGAGTCCTTTAAATAAGAACGAAATTTAGGAAAACATACAACCAGATATTTTATTCTCTGGTTTATATTTTACAATTGCATTTTTAATGAGTTCTTACCACTTTTTAATGAAGGCTTCATTTTTTGTAAGGTTATTATATTTTAAAAGAGCTTAACCAAAAATAAAAAGCAATTACACTTAAATTGTAAAATTATATTATGTAATTCCTTACATAGTAAACTAATTTATAAATAGTTCCATTAGCTATTCATTAATAAACCCCAATAAACAGGCTTAATTTATAATGGAGATGATATCCTCATTAAAGGAATCTAATTTATTTAGTATTATTTAAGTTAAACATTGTTTATTCGTTCTTGATAAAAACAAATTATTTTAGTATATTTTCTCTAAAAGTATCGACAATTAATTGATTTCTACATCGTTTACATTCAAATAAGAAGCCAATGAAGTATTAAATTGAAGACTGTTGGAATAAAAAATGTCATCAATTAAATATTAAAATTTGTTAATCGTAATTTTTGGAGATTCAAATTCACTCATCTCATAATTAGCGAAAAAGTGGTCCAATTTCCCGTATGGATATCTTGTTGAATTTTTGGTCATCATTATGAATATTCGAAATGTCATTCTAGTTAAAGACGAAGCCTTATTAATCATCAATAATTTAATTAACCAGAATTAAACTAAATATCAATTATTATTCAAAGAATTTTTTTAATATAATTTAATTCCCCTTGTATGGAGATTGTCAGCAAATATAATTATTATTTTAATTTATGAATAAAAATAAAGAATCTGGAAAGCAAGTTTAAAATATCAAAGTAAATGATTCTAATTCAAATAAAAATAAAGAATTATAAAAGCTTGTTTAAAATAATAAGAATTTTGAATTTTTATCAAGTGGAAAAATTAAATGCCTTTTAACACATCACGAAATTTTACCAACTTTATAAGAATTTAACAACTATCTTAATGGAAAAAGCTATAAAAATGCATTAGAAAGTGATATCGACTTTACTTAATTTGAACCCTACATCGTCCAGCATAAAACTGATAAGTAAAATTAATTCATAGTTGTAGAAATAAATTGTTTTGTAATTTGACCCGATAAAATATTAGTAAAAAGAAATCTGTAATTCTCAAACATGTTAATGGAAAGAGATATAAATATTATTTATCCAGTAATTCAATTATATCTATAAATCTTTAGAGTACTTAGAGGAATAAGCCAAAGAGGAGCAAGAAAATTAATAAGAAAAATAAGAAGATGATGTCTAAAATGAATTAGAAGAGTTGAACAACCTAGTAAATGAAGAGGAGTAGGAAGAATAGCCATAGAAACAAAAAAATGGAATTCTAAAAGGAGGAAAAAAAATAAATAAAAAAATTTTTAAACAATAAAAAGAAGAATAGATAGAAATTGAATAGGGAACATAAAGTAAATAGAAAAAGCCATAATAATAAGTAAAAAAGTTAAAGAATAAATAATAAAATGCATAATTGGAATGAAAATACAATGACTTTATTATGTATAATATCAATGTAATCTAAAAAAAAATATTAACAAATCATGATGATTATTCTTCTAAACTTTCTATTCTTTTCTATTTAGATTAAACTTTTTTCTTTTTGAAGATCCACAAATTTTTCTGTTGTACCATCCTACTGCATTTTCTAAAAACTATTTGTAAATAAAATTACAATTTTAATGGTTTTAATGGCCTCTGCGACCTTCTCTTCATTGAATTTGATTTCATCCAATTTCAAATTAATTAAGTTTTCAATAGCTTATATTCTTTCTACGTCAAATTAGGTCATCATTGTTATAGCTGTACCTCTAATTGAAATAGATATATTCTACATAGCTTCTGCCAGCTCTTCCCGTTCTACCTACTCTATGAATATAATCTGCTTCTACTTTAGGAACATTCCAATTAATAACAAATTTTACATTTGGTATATCAAGTCCTCTTGATGCTACATCTGTGGCTACCAACACTTAAGTCTTTTATGATCTGTAAGCTCTTAAATTACTGATTCTTTCATGTTAAGGTAACATTGAATGCAAACAAGTTGATTTAATTTCAAAATGATTAAGCAATTCATTTAACTCATGACACTTTCTACATGTAGGAGCAAAAACAATGGTAGATGCTCCTTCTAATTTTTTCATTAGATGGATGAAATAATAATCTTTAACAAAATCTGGCATCAATACAAATTTATGTTTAATAGTTTCTGATACCTTTTATTCTGGGTTATTCTCCATTTAACAAAGTCAACATTAGCAAATTCGTCTTTTAATTACTGGGTGACATTATTCAGAGTAGCTGATACTAATGCAATATAAGGAGATTCGCATTATTCATATACTTTTTTTATATCATCCCAAATTTGAGGTTCCAAACAGTCTATCTATTTCATCCAATATGAAATATTAACATTCTTAATATATTTCTAGAAATTAACATCAATGCTAAGCAATTCTGCACATCTCCCAAGAGTTCCAATTATTATATGTGGGATTTATCCTAATAGTTTGACTTATTTTGAAGAGGAAAGTCCCCCTATTAATAAAGCTAATCTCAAATTGACACTAGCACCAAATATTTATATCTATTCAGCTATCTATACTGCTAGTTCTCTATTTGCAGTTAATATAATTGCGAAGATTCCATATGGATCTTAACTAAATGTCTATAGAATTGGAAAGGAAAATGCAGCTGTCTTTCCATTACCTGTTTGAGAAGAAACTAAAATAAATTCTTCGATTATTACTCAATACATTCTTTCTTTATAGTAAGGGAGGGATACTTAAAACTTAAATTGGTTTTGGCTCTTATAATCAATCTTCCAACATAATCTAAACCTAATTCTTCAAATTTCTGATATTCACCACTATTCATTTTTTTATTATTATAATTTATAATGATCAATAATCACCCTTGTACATTGTAATCAGAATGCGTTTCACTCTATAATTGCATAGATGGAATATGTACGCATAAGAACTTCTTTCCTCCAACATTTCCTGAATTGATAGGCATGATTAGCATAGCCATTTTCACAGGGTTTGCATCCTTAGCAGGTATTTCATTGATTGATAGCATGTTGTAGGGATTGGAGGAGGTGGAGTAGTAGTTTCTTTGATGACTATGTTTTTTAACTATTCATAGAAAGAAGCATTACTAGGAGTCTTTTTACCTATTTTTGGTGCAGCTTTAGGAAATTTCCTTAATCTTGCTTAGCAATTGGATCCTTAAACCAAAACTCCAGTTGTGAAAATAAGAAGTGCAATAGTGGCATGTCCAGCCATGATAATAGGGAGCATGGTAGGTCTTATTCTGAATAAGATATTACCTGCATTCTTTTTAATATCTATATTGCAATATTTTTTATTTCTTTCGTGCTAAAAGTTTTATAAAACTGCCCTTAAAGAGTAGAATAATGAAAATTAAAGAAAACAAACTTAAAATTCAGTAGAGATTCCTATTCTTAATAAATTATCATAAGAAGAAAAGCAATAACCTTTACAGGGTGCTTCATTAAAAGAGAATATAGATCTTATTGTAGCAATATGTGTCATTGTTATAACAGTGCTTCTAGGGTTTTTTCTGAGGGGGTCTCCAAATGTTTAATCAATTATTGGTATATCTTATTGTGGATTCTTTTATTGGATTATTACATTAGGTCTGGTTGTCGTATTATTTTATTATTTTGAATACATATTTGATAGATTTTAAAAAGAAGAGTTAAAACCATTAAAAAAAGAATGTTTGAGAGACTCGTTTAAGGCTGGTATATTCAATGGATTTGGTCTAGGAGGTGGTATGATTTTGATACCAATGTATTTGGGGATGGGATTCACTACAATTCAAAGTACAGGAACATCATCATTTAACGTTTTACTGAGTTCATTTTAAGTTGCAGCATAAGTGATTATTCTAGGGTACATGGGTACTCTTTAAGCAATTTCCTTGTTTACAATGACTGTTATTGGATGCTATTTGTCTAGTTCCTACATTTTTAATAATCTAAAGAAAAGAGATAGGTTATCTCTAATAATGTGGGGATTGGTTGGATTTGTCATTTTTGCAATGGTTAATTTGGCAATATAATTCATCTAGAAATGGTCTCATAATGGTTATTAAATATCTGAATTATTTGCATTTTAAAGCATTTGTTGAATATTTAAAATACTATTTTTTATAATATTTTAGAATACGATTTTGTCTTTAAAGTTTGAATCTGTTGTTTTTCATATTAAGAAATAAAAATATAAAGTTTGTTATTTAAGAAATTTCTGGATTTGTATTCTAAGAGAAAATATAAAATTTAAGATGTTTGAAAAATTGTCGACAGAAATCTTCATTATTATTGTAACTAATATTTTGAAGAATAGCTTGCATATTTCTAATTATTGCTGTATTTATAATTCTTTTAATTGATTTGGATAAAAAGAAAAATAGTTTAAGATATATTTAAAAAAGAATTAGATAACAAAGTAATTTAATAAGATAATAGTTCGTAATTGAAAATTTATGATGGTTTAAACAAGATATATCTTTAGATTACTATTCAAATAAAATTTAAAAAAGTTCATTTATTAATGAAATAAGGAATTCTGGCACTATATTTGGATGTAATCTGAATAAGATTATTTACAAAAATTAGTCTAGCAAAAATTGTAAGAAAAAGACCTTTATCAACTCTATTTATTGGAACAACAAGTGAAGGATAATAAAATAATCATAGTTTTATGTTGAAATAATTTCGTTCTTGGTGTTTAACTCTTTATCTTCAATTGTAAAATAGGTTTACAATTTTTTCAAATTGATGAAACTTTCCTTAGAATTATTGAGATCTTATTAAAATAGAAAAATCATAGCAATAAAAAGGAAATTCAAATTTATCATAATTTATATATATATATAAAAATTTACATAAATTATAAATAGTTAATTATTAAAAATGAACAGATTCTGTGATTATAAATCTTGTCAATACTTCATTAAATAACCTACAATAGAACAAAGATCCAAACTGAATAAGGTGATGTGTCCGTTATGTATGGGTGCTAACTATTGTAGTACCCGATGTAGAGATCTTGATTGGTAAATTATTATATGTTATTAATTACTAAGGCCAATATATCACAAAGAGATATGCAAAAAATCTCAGCCAGATAGAGCACGATCTTGTAATGATACAATTGATTCTTGTTCAACAACAAGTGTGAGAAGAAGACCTGAAGAGTTTGAAATCATTATGATTGGGAGCAAGTAAGAATTAGGCAGAGGATCATATGGGTCGGTTAAATTAGTCAAAGACAAACAGAATGGCCAATTGTATGCAATGAAAATTGTATGATATTTTTCAAAATTTGTAGATGAATAAGAGATAAGTTTTTGAATATTGTTCAGTAGAAAACCTTAAAAGGGAAATAAAAATACAACGCAAATTAGTTCATCCTCATATTTGCAAATTGCACCATTATTTTGAGGATAAGGAAAATGTTTACTTAATACTTGAATATGCATGTATAATGTTTATTAAATAGAAAATGGATCTCTTTTTAATTACATTAAAAAACGATCTAAATTACCTGAGAATGAAGCATTTGTCTACTTCTTTTAAACTTGTTTGGGAATAGATTATCTACACAAAAATAAGATTATCCATAGAGATCTTAAACCAGAGAATTTGCTATTAGATCACGATGGTAATGTGAAGATATGTGATTTTGGTTGGAGTGCTGAAAGTCTAACGGAGAAAAGGATGACTTTTTGTGGTACTTATGAATATATGGTATAATAATTTATCGAAAGAATTAGGCACCTGAAATGTTAAATAAACAACCACATGATTTCAGTCTAGATGTTTGGAGTTTAGGAATTTTATTATATGAATTATTGCATGGAAATGCACCCTACAGAGGGAGGAATAATGAGGAATTAGGAAATAAAATAAAATCTGGATAGCCCATCAATTTTGCATCAACATTATCAAATGACGTTATTACTCTTATCAAAGGAATACTTAAATATATTCCTGGAGAGCGTTTAACAATGGATTAAATCTTTGATCATCCATGGATGGTTAAGCATGCTACTAGTTACAACATTGATATTTGGACTTTTGTTTATAAAACATAATATCCTACTAGACAAATTCCTACTGCTAATTTTCAATAGAAATAGAAGGTTATTGAGATCCAAAAAAAAGATCCGATAGCCAGACCGATTTCATAAGATTACAACAAATATAAAGAATAGCCAATAAATAATAATGCAACTAATTACAAAGCTTATTAAAATGACTATAATAACAATAAATAAGAAGACTTTAATAAACCGAGAATCAGTAGAGTTTCTAATAGGAATGAGATTATGATGCATCAACATTAATTGCAATAATAATAATAAGAAGAGAAGTTATCTTTTATGGACAGAGTGTTTCTAGCATTTGGATGTTTGAATAGAGAGAAAAAATGATTAATTATAATACTTTATTTTATTTTAGTTAAAATAATTTAAAGTAACTAGAAAATGAGTAAAGTATATGATCTTTACATTCACTTACTTGTGAAACAATAACAAAGTCCTATGATTTCAACAATATCTAAGTATGAACCATCTGGTTTCAAGGATGATAGCAATCCATTGAGTATGGCCAATAAAGTTAGAGTAATGAGATATAGATCAGATAAATTATTATTGCCAGATACAATTCTCCAACATTACATTAACTAATTTAAACACAATAGATAATTGTTTATACTTTTTCTAAGATAATTAACATTCCCTATATTAGAACATGAATTATCGGATTAATCATAGATAGAGAATATTATATAATAAATTGAATTAGATAGCATTCTATTATACTAGTTGAATTTATGGTCTAATATATTTCAAATAACTCATTAATAACTCCAATCCTTGTTGTTATTTTAAAACATTAGTGATTACTTGAATTTTCTTTAAGAGTTCCAATTAAACTAATTGTAAAGATTCTAAAATATTGATCTATCCAATACCAATGCAGATGAGGAAAGTGCCAAAATCGAGGAAACTCAAATTGTTTATGTAAATGATATGTATGAAAATCACTACAAGCCAAGTAGCAAGAAGAAACTTGCGTCTTTTACTCATAGAAATGAATTGAGTGAATCTGAGCAAAATTAAATAATAAAAATAATTCAAAAAAAGAAATTAAGTTCGATAAGAGATATTTTTAATACTATCATCACATAATTTGATCTTAAGCCAAAAATATAATATACTGAATAAAATGGACATTGGATATGTTGTATTGAAATCAAAGAGATTTAATCTAAGTAGAGTACTTAGAATAAAAGCCAATCTTTGATATGCTCTTAGATCCATATTATTAAATAATTTTGTCCAATCATATTTGATTATATAATTGAGAACTCAAATCAAAATATTGATTAAATTAAGAGCAACAAAGGCATTGTAAATCTAGGATTACCCATATCCAAAAGTAATAAACTAATGCCAGAAGAAGACTATTTAAAATAATTGCCATACTTCTATGAGATGATTGAAAATTATATTGAGAATAAAAACAACAATCAGACTTGCTCAATTAGAAAATTATAAAATGAAGTAATCACTTACTTAATTTAAAAATATAATTAATTTTCAATTAACAAATAATTGTTATGTGTTGCTTCAACTTATGAATTGAATATGACATTTTTGGAGAATGGTTCATTGAAATCCATTTAAAAGTAAGATTCAATATTAAATTTTAGGACCTTTACAACGAAATTACGATTCTGTAATGCAAGATTGATTGGATAATAATATATAATAAATGTAATTGGAAATTTGATTTTAGGAGAGAAGGTATCCAAATAATTTGATAATATTAATTAATTTTTGTTATAAATCTAATGAATAAGGGAGGTTGCTAAAATCGAATAGGAATTGATACTTTGTGTGTATAAGGAATATTATAATAAATAAAATGTAAATTAAATAAAATGTAATCCAAAGTTTGATTAGGTAAAATAGTGCAATAGAAAACTTAGTATAAAGAGAAGGTTTGCAATTGATAGGTACAAGTCGATTTAATTTAGGTGATTAATCATATGGAAAGCTAAATGATGCAGAATATAATAAGAAGAAAACGCAAATCACTTTATTGAAAGATTAATAATACATAGATGCAGAATAGTTAAAAAGGTTGGAAGAACACAACGAAGATTAATCGAATTAGCAATAGAAGTGGGTTATTTTGTTGTTGTTTAAAATTATCAGACCAGAAGAGCCCAAAAAGATTATATGGGATTTGATTGGAATGTCATTTATATTTATTCAAATGATAACAATCCCACTAATATTGACTTTTAGTTTTGAAATATCGGGTGGTTTTGCAATCTTTAATGACATAATGGACTACTATTTCTTGATTGACATTTTAATGTAATTTTAAACTGGTTATTATGAAGGGTATTAAAGAGTAAATATATTTGTAGGGGTTTTTTTGTAAGTTAGAGGAAACAGATTGCATTAAATTACTTAAAATTATGGTTTTGGCTGGACTTAATCTCATCATTCCCATATGATGATGTACTTTCATTATTTATTGACGAATCAAATACATAGTCGTTGAAACGCAATACTCAGATCATAAAGATCATGAGGATTGTTAGATTCATTAAGGTGATTAGATTGATGAGAGCTTTGAAATTAAAAAAAATCATAAATTAAATAGAAGATACCTTATTCTAAGATAAAACAATCATATCAATCATATCCTTCTTTAAGATTTGCCTGATAATTTTGAGTTTATCTCATTGGTTGGCTTGTATATGGAATGCCATCAGGTTTATTGAAGAGACAGATAATAATTGGTATACTCAATACGTGATTAATTTTAATCAAGAGAAAGATAATGATCCGGACTATTGGTTTAATTAGTATGTGGCTGGAATATATTTTAGGTATATTTGATATTATAGAAGAAATAAAGCATAACTACAATGATTACTATTGGATATGGGGATATTTCGCCTAAGAATACGATAGAAAGGTCATTTGGGATATTTGTTATGATTTTGGCTTCGGGTGTGTTTGGTTATGTTATGAATTCCATTGTATTATTGTTTTAGAATATGAATGAATCATTAGAGGATCTATTAAATAAGAATACGGCTGCCATTAAGTAAATATATTAATTAATGAAGATATATGAAATAAAAGGAAGTTAATAAGAAGTTACAATCAAGGATTAAGAATTACTTAGAGTGGTTAATAGAAGATGAACAATTACAAAAGAGTTATGCTCATGACACCCTCGAGAAGTTATCATTGCCATTAAAAAATCAATTAACTCAGATTGTACATGGTAAGATGATGAATTAAATCAAATTTTTGAGTAAGAATTTTTCATCTTTATTATTAAAGAAGTTGGCATTCACATTTTAAGAAGAAAGTATTAAATGAAATAATTTAGTTTATAATCCAGAAGATTGGATTATCAATTAGAATGACCCAATTGATGATTAGACATCTATATTCTTTATTTTGAATGGGAGAGTGTCTGTGTGTTTTCCGAAGTCTAAGGGAATCAATGAATTAGTGGAGTTGAGTAAGAAATAGTATTTTGGAGAGATATCTTTTTTTGGGAATGTTCCTAGATGTGCATCTGTGAAAGCCAGAAATTTTATCAATTTATTTAGACTGTCTAGGAAATCATTCTTGGAGCAATGTGAAATAGAAGATATTGAGAAATTCTTTCAATTGAAATTCAAAATAGAGTTTGAGTAGGATTATGAGGATTTGAATTTATTTTGTTATGTTTGTTAAGCTCCTAATCACACAGCCAAGCATTGTCCCAATGTACATTATGTTATAAATAAATACGATAGAATCACTATCATAGAGAAATATAATGAAGAAATTAAATTATTTATTAATGAAAGAAGGAGGCAGAGAAAGAAATGTAATACTTTGAGATATCTAAATAATAAAAGAAATTAATAAGTAATCTAATAAATCACTGAAGAAGCATATAATCTTGAAAAGTATATCAATTTCCATTAGACTAAACCAAGTGTATTGAGGATTAAAGATTCATTTAGGACGGATTCAATCAAAGAATACACCAACTTTACACCCATGTCTAATTTAAATTCGATAGCAAGACTCTAAAATTATAATGCTGAATTGTATGCAGAGAATGTCAGGCAATAGAAAGAAATTTAAAAGAAAAACAAATTGAAAAGCAAATTTGTACAACTCTTTCAAAATAAAAAGGAATAACGAAAATCTTTAGGCAATAATTAAACAGGCAATAAATTTTCACAATTAGTTATGAATCTAACAAAATTAAAAAAAGCATAAGACCAACAATAATAACATTCAGAATAGGAGAGTAACCAAATCTCCATCACAAAATTATCCTCTCCTCCTACAGTTAAACCTAAATTGTTAAGAGCTCCCACTATGGTAGCCAGAAAATTGAATGAAGGAAAGAATACAAGATTACAAAGATTACCCAGGAAAACTTATTTAGGATAGATTTGCGGATTAGAAAAACATAGTTAATAATTCATGGATGAGGTAATAGTAGATTCCAAAGAATGTTCTGCTTAACCTTTAAAATAATCGAGTGCCATTAAAGTTAAAAAGAAGAAGACAATAATCATATAGAAATCAACAGAAGCGACAATCATTGATTCATACTAATTTCCTGATGTTAGTTTTCATAAATCGCTAAAAAGAAGTTAATCTTCTGATGAATTAAAATCAAATTACGATTTAGAAAAATACTCTAAATTATTTCTCGAAGATATGATATATTTGGTGACTAACTATAAATTGTAAAATTGCAAATGACAAATATATATAAATGTATATGTCAAGTTTTTTTTACTTATTTGACTTTCATTTAAGCGACATGCAAAGTAACAGATTTTTTGTTTATATTATCTTACAATCTAGATTTTGGTCGAGAGTAAAGGGTTGCCAATTCCTAGATTTTCTCAAGAGATGAATATTGTTTCTCTTCGATCGATTATTTAGAACTGGTAGTATACTTACAATATTTACTTTGTTTGATAATCCTAGTATTCAGTAACCATTCTGTTTTTTCTGGTATTTGTTTTAAGACACATAGATTATTTTTATTAATTGAGATTCATGAAGTTGTTATGGAATGTATTTGATCTGGATTTCATATCAAGTTGAATGGTTTATTTCTATTGATCCAACAATATTTTGTCTATAATTGATTAAGTTTTTTGTTGCAATTGCTGATTCTTCTAGTGTTTGTTATCCTCAATATCTTTCTTTAGTTAGGTAATCTCTTTTTAATAACTCTAAGGAATACATGAGTAATCATTTATACCAATATTTACGCTTTATGATCCTTCTCTATATTTAGTTACTATTCGTAGAGTTCTTAAATGTTTTCACAATGAATTTTCAGTCTCTGCTCTGTCTAATGTAATTTTAGAGTTTGATACCCTTATATGAGATCTGCACTCTCCTTCAGACTTTTATAATTATTCTTCTAATTAGGTATATTAAGTGTGTATTTCTAATAGAATTCTAGAGATATATCAATTGAAGATACCCAAATAAATCGTCGAGGACTGAAATGATTATTTGAATTCCTTTTAAGGCAGTGTTTGGTTATTGAATTGTTATTGTTGATTGTCCTAATTCTTGTAACTTATTAGTAAGTTTGGGAAAGTAATTAGTAATCTATACAAATGATACAAACAAGAATATTACTTCTTATTAGATTTCCTCTAGTAAGTTCATGAATATAATATTTATTATTGTTATTATTATTGTGAATATCAATTTCCAATAAATTTAGTTTATTCCCTTGGTGGTCTTTCGTTTCTTTAATGTTTCAAAGCAGGGTGTGGTTATCTTAACAATTCAAAGGTACTATCATCTTGAGTCTTCTCCCAAGGTTTGTAATATCTAGATGGATTATATAAGTGAGTATACTTCATTTGATCAACTAAGTCAACTTCTTTGGCAAGTTGTTAGATAAGAAATTCTATTTGCTCAAAACCGAATTCCTCTTCAAGTTGTCTAATATCCTCGATTTCATCTGTAATTCGCATAATATATTTTAATTTCTCCTCAGTGTATATTCTGTAAAGAACACCTTCAGGGATTTCTGCCTTTAATTTATCAAGTATTGTGTAGCATAATTTCATTATCTTTGCTCTTGGCATGGGCTCAACATCAAGGAAACTGTATCCAGTGGTTAATTTGATTTTTGATGATGGCACCTCGTACTTCTTGGCTTCATATGGTCTTAAATAAACAGGTATGGGATTCGATTGAGTGGCTGATGTTTGTGTACCAGAAGCTACATTGGATGATCCAAGTGTTGATGCAAATCTGAATCGTGGCATCCATCTATAGAGTGTGTGAATCATTGATATTTAATAAATAATAAGAAAATGAGTGTTCATAGGAAAATTTTGGAGAAGAGTGGCAGATTGGATTCTCTACAATAACAATAACAACAACCAGAGCCCTAGACTTAGGAGTATGGAAAATAACATCCCGAGAATTAAGATTCTGATGTTCTCAAAAATTTGGAGGCATGTGGATAATACAATTCAAATAATTCCATAAAGAGCACATCCAGAGTGTTTCCAAGGACTAAATAAGTTTATATGGATGCCAAAATTCCATTCGCTGTCATAATACAACCTTATGGGTCATCCATAGAATAAGGATTCCCTATTGTAAACTATGGGAACAATCCAATATTGAGATGCCAGAATTGCAGAGCTTATATCAATCCTTTTATGGAGCAATTGAAGGATGAGGAGTACATGAGATGCAATATTTGCACATGCATTATAAAAATACCCAACAACTTCATTAAGCCTATGGATTTAGAGAAACGACCTGATTTGACTACAGGATCATATGATATTAAGGCAGGGTAGGAGTATTAGGTTAGACCACCAATGGCCCCTGCTTATTTTTTTATGATTGACGTGTCACAGAAGAGTTAAGAATTACTCGGAATTATGGGGTAGATCATTAAAGATATGATTTTGGAGGATAAATTTAATGAAAGAACATTGTTTGGATTCATTACGTTTGACACTAGTATACATTTGTACAATTTCAGTTCTAAACTTAAATAAGTATAAATGTATGTGTTAACAGATGACAATGAAATGCCAATGCCAGGCAATTACTTATTTGATTTATAGGATTCTAAAGATATTATTGTTGCCTTTTTGAATCAATTGGATCATCTATTTCCTAAACCATAATTGAGGAGCACTTAATTCTTATCAGCATTTAAGTTGGTCTAAAATATCATGTAAGAAAATGGAGGTAAGTTGATCATCTTGACATCCTCGCCTATCAAAGAGTTGAATCTAACTGACAATTCTAAATCACCTCAGAATCACTTTTTACCAACCAATAATGTATTAAAGTAAATTGCTGAAAAAATGCATTTTAATTACATTTCTCCATCAATCTTTGTTCTACCTTGTGGATTCAATAATGTTGGCACTCTAAATCAATTAGTCAAATTTTTGAATGGTGACATCTTTTATTATGATGATCCCACTATTTAAGGTAATTATTCCTATTAAATTTAAGCTCAAAAGTTTTATTATGACTTACGTGCAATCTTGGAGAAAGATTATACTTGGGAATCAGTCTTCAGAATTCGAACATCGATTGGATGGAAAATCAAAAGTGTCTATGGTAATTATTCAATTAAGAATGCAGATCTACTTAATATAATTTGCGCTGAAGAGTAAGTATTTATTATTATAGAATAGTCAAAAGGTATTAATGTATGAATTAGAATTGAATCAACCTAGAGCCCCTTATGATAATTTATATCTGTAAACTGCTCTACTATACACATCCACCAAGGGAGAAAGAAGAATACGAGTTCATAACTTTTGTATTCCAATTAGTAATTCAATAAAGACAATATACTCTTAAATTGATCAATCATGTTTAGCTATCTCATTGTATAAGATTGCTCTATCTCAACTAAATATTGCCAGAGATCTCAAAGACTGCAATCAAACCAAAGAATTCTTAATTACTGCAACAAGATCAATATCTAATAATTGTAAGATTTTCAAAGAACCCCTTGAGTCATTAAATTCTTATATGTTAGGAATAATGAAGTCTTCTATACTTAACTATGCCTATGATCAACAATCAGTTCTAACAGATTATATGAATTACTTCAGATCTATTTTCCAGTATTTAAATGTGGATGAATTGGTTACTTACTTAGTACCACAATTATACAATATTTCCAATTTGCAAGAACAGGATTGCATTTATGATGACAGCGGGTATTTCATATATCCATAACCCATTTCTTTGGTCTTGGAAGAGGTTTCGAATGGAGGATTATTGCTTATGGATTGTGGTCATTGTTTGATACTGTTTATATGCAAGTAATGATTCCTTTATAGTAGATTACATGATGAAAATCAGATGGCTGACATTTTTGGGAAATAGTATCATAGTATCAATTTAATAGAGGATAATTTGTATTCCAACTCCAAAAACCCTATTAATGATAAACTACATTATCTAATTGCAGAATTGAGAAAGTATATATTCAATGTTATTGTGTTTAGCAATAAGTACACCAAATTTGCACCATTGTATATAGTGAAGTAAGGATGCAAGAGTTATTGGGAGGATGTCTTCTTTCAAAATTTAATTTACGATGATTTTAATAAGAATTATAGAATGGGATATAATCAATTTGTACAATATATTGGTTGACATTATTAATATTTATATATAATAATAATATACAATGAAGAAAAATAGATTCCAGCAATAAAAGGAGGAGCAGAAGAAACAAAATTATTTTGACGAAGAGGAAGATATTGATTTAGAAGATGATGGTCTATTTGGAAAAGAGGTGTTAACTGCATGTAACATTAATCATTTATTATCAGCCAAACCCTATGAGGAGTACTTCTAAAAGTTCAATGAATTGTACAACAATCACATTGTAAAGTTTTCAGCATTCGAAGAGGATTATTAAATCCCATTGACATAGCCAGATTATGAAAGCATCATTCAGAGTCATTTCATGGTTTATGAAAAGAATATGGGATTGTTTGATTTCATGAAGTCAGACAACAAAGTCTTTGATAAGATAAGTGCATCCTTTGTCTTCATTGACAATTAAATTAGATAAATAGAAGATCAAGTATTCAACAACTATTATTCTATAGTTCTATAAATTTCTTGATAAATTGACTATTTATGGAGAGTTGGCAGATCTTCATTTGGAAGAAGAGAGGAAATTGACTGATGGTGAGGCTGAAATCATGATATGTAGAATGCTTGGTTAATTCAAGTGTATATATGACATAATTAAAAAACTCATCAATTACATCACCCATTTGGTCAATCAATTGAATTTACTTTACAATAAAAAGGATCCCATTTCTAAAATCATTAAAATCTTTAACTTAAATTTTCCATTAGATACAATAGGAAGAGCATTGCAACTGATTTACATCTTAGACAATGTTGTAGAATAGAATGATTATCTATAAGAACATTGGAATTATTGTAAGAGAATGTTAAAAATTGTGAAACCAGATCCCACTAAATTTAATTCTAATGCTTAAAATGTTAAACAATTAGAAAAGATTATGATCAGATTAGACAAGACCGTGTTATCTGGATCTTGCCTCTAATCAGTTTTAGCACAAAATTGGGATTAAAATGTACATGAAAAAACAGGAAAAGAGAAAAATGCCAATATACCTGCCATCAAAAACAATAAGGAATTCTTCAATGTTCTCAATACATATCTCAAAGAAAGATATGAATTATTTGATAGAACCTTAGGAACTGCTAAAGAGATGTTCGAAAGAGATTTATTATTACCAACATTCTGTGTTTATGCTCTAGTCAGATAATTATATCAAAATGATGAGAATAGAGATCTATGGAAGAACCTTTGGTCTCTATAAAAGAAGGTTCCAATGGTCGATGGACATTCACAAGTTTTATGTTATTTGAGTAAATTCCTCATGGAAGTCACTCCATTATCAAAAAAGAGTGCAACCATGGACCCCAAAGATCCCATTGCCAATTTTAAGAACTATCTACAAAGATTATCAGCCTCATTTTAAAGTTCATTAACTGCTTAATATGTTGCATTCACCACTTGGATTGTTAGGGTTGACTCATTCTCTTGTAGTTAAGCTTCATTTAATAATATTGATAAAATTGATAGGGAAAGAGCACAGAAGTATATTGAGGAGAGAATGAATTAGAGAGTAATTTTAGTGTTGTAAGGATTGACAATAGCTTCTCAAACAAGGAATCTGTTATAAGCATTGTTATTAGGACATTTTGGATTGGAAGAACAATCTTTAGATATGTCATTATCAAAGGATGTTGTTTTGGCCGTGGAAATGCTAAAAGCAATAGAATACTATTTCGAATAAAAATATGATGTCTTTTAGCCTGCCTTAATCTAAAATCATATAACTAAGAATGGATAGAGAATCATTTAATAAGTATTAGAGAAGATGAAGGCAAATATTAAGAGTTTTGGTACAGGAGGTGCTGAAATATTGGGGGCATTATAAATTTTGAATTCCATTCTCAAGAGCACACTTTCACCTTTGAAATTATAGACTATGTATTATTTGATGGATTTCATGGTTGCAAAGGATATATTCACCAATTCAGAGAAGGAAGACTTTAGAAATATTCTTTGGAAACTTGATAAGTTAATTTTATTACCATACTATGTAAAAAAGGTTACAGCAAGTACTTATTTTTATTGGTGTAGAGAATTGTTACCTTCATTCTTTTAATACATCTATCAGAATCCATCATAAGCAAAAAGGTTTTAATTTTTATTGAATGCTGTTTCTGATTGTTCAATCTAATTAAAAGATTGTATGCACTTAGAGAATCCTGATGAATTGTTTGATTCATTTAGATAATATGTTGTTAAGGAGTTTTATGCTTAATATTTATAACCTTTGGCTAGAGACATTGAGGATTATTTAAGAATTCAAGTGCATACAGTTTTGATTGAAAAAATAACAGCTTTAAACCCATTCAAATAATAAGTGAAGGACTTGAAAAGATTACTAGACATTGATTACGTATTGATATTTGATTCAATTGTGAATTTGAGAACTGAAATCAATCAAATACTCAATGAAACATTCTATAACATCAATGTTCTCAATATGTATGATCAAGAAACATATGAATAAATGAGAAGTTTAGCAAATTCTAAATTTGGATTGAATTTAATAAATGTTTATTTGCCAACTTAAACAGTTGATTAAGGAAACTTCGATGTGCTCAATGTTCTCAAGAATATCCAATAATTCTTTACCAAATACACATACAATTTATATTAGTAATAATTTGTTCAGGTATGGAAAGTTTAGATTATTAAAATAGGTAACATCAGAGAGTAAATAAGTCTACTCTATAAGTATTCAACAAATTGCAGATTCAATTAGAACTCACGGCATTGGTATCCTGAGTACAACAGTTAATAGTGTGTATAAATTCCTATAAAAGTACATTATTATTTTATGTAAATCCTAGAAAAATTTAAATGTTTTCACAATTTTTGTTTGATGATCTGATTCAATCTCCATTGGTTAGAGAAGATAGATTTTTTAGAGAAAAGAAGGATGAACTGGATGGTCAATATCCTTTTGACAGAGCAGAAGCATTATACAAAGAAATTAAGAAATTGGGTACATTTGATGATGGATCTAATTACCTTGACAAATTCAGAACTTTAATAACACAAATAGGAAATTCATTAGCATTTGTCAGATTATTGAGATCAGCTGCTTTGCATGTTAATTCAAAATGTTTGGAATACATTCCAAGTTAATACAATTCCACTCAATTAGAATCTTTGACAAGAGAAGCTGGATTTAGTGGTAATTATATTTATTTGATATTCAATACTAGATGCCACAGTAAGCACTGCAAAGGAATTGGAAGAGATATTTACATAATATAAGAGTAGTTTTTCTGAGAAGATTGATTATATAAACCTATTGTTGAAGGCATTTTCAAGTATCAACTCACCAGAAAATGAACATTTGTCTCTATTTTATTTGATTGTTCCTACATTGACTTTGAATTTCATTGAAAAAATGTTGATTTCAAAAGATCAAATAGGAAAGAAGAACTCAACTACTGAAGTTTTTATTAGTGTAAATATCTATTGATATCAATATAGGATGATGGATTCATTCTGGGCATTCAATTCTTCTTAACATTATTAGATTAAAAAGGATAATTTGAGTCTCTTCATTGGAGAAAAGAAATCAAAAATAAATTCAATCTTGATTTGAAATCAGCCAAGACTTTAGCCACCGCAAAACCAAATTAATCATAAAGAGCAACAGACGAAGTAATTCTACATCATATAATTAGATCAATATGTAAAAAGAATTATCATTACGTAAATTAAATATGCAATATGATGAATTCCAGATGTTCTTCTACGCTTTCAATTCATGTAAAATCCTGTTTCTTGGAGAATGATTAACCAAAATTTAAATAATAATAATATATATATATTATGAATTAATCTTAATATGGAGCCTTTGGTATGAGTGGTAATAATTTCAATCAAACTGGTGGTAAACCCCCTGTCAATAATTACAATTTTGAAAACGTTAGAGTAAAACATCGTTCATTTAAGTTTAGGCATAATAACCTGCACCAGGGGGACCATAACCTTCTCGAGGCAAACCTCTAGGCACAGCTGCCAGACAGCCTTAAGCAGAAGCAAGACCTATGACTTCCAATAGAGGAGCCAATTTTGGGTAGAAGAAGGACCCATTCAACTCTACTCAAAATCAAATTAATTTGAATAAACCCAAACTTGAAACTAATCCTGAAGAATAGTTCAAAGCCATAGAAAAAGAAATCAATACCTTGATTGAATAAAGTGCTATGGCTAAATTGAGAGGCAATCTCTCGGAATGTCTGGAGAAAGCTAAAGAAGCTTTCAACAAAGAAAAGAAACTAAGACAATCTAAAGAAGCCTAAAATTTAGTTGAATCAATAAACACTGACCTTAGTTATTGTGCAGCCTTAACTTAAGCTTGTGCATTACATGCCAATGGACTCCATCAAGATGCATTAGCAAAATATCAGGAAATCATCAAATGTAAATAATATCCACAAGCAGGAAGATTAAGAGTCAATATGGGAAACATCTTTTTTGAATTGAAGAAATATCCTAATGCCATCAAAATGTACAAAATGGCTTTGGATTTGATCCCTGCCACATCCAAGGAAATGAGATTTAGAATACAAAAAAACATTGGTCATGCACAAGTAAGGTTGGGCAAAGATAAAATCAAAGAGGCAATGAACACTTATGAATAAATCCTCAAAAATTCACCTGATTTCCCAACTGGGTTCAATCATATGATTTGTTTGTATTTGAGTGGAGATAAGTTTAAAATGAAGGAATTCTTTGTAGTTCTCTTAACCATCGAAATACCAGGAGAGAATGAAGAAGAGAATAATGAAAATAAGGGAACTACTATTACAGATAAATTAAGAGAAGATACTAAAGAAAGAAGAAGAGAAGCCATTTATTATATTGTCACTTCAGCTAAACTGATTGCTCCATTGATTGAAGATGATGTTATTGGGGGATATGAGTGGATTCTAGAATAACTCAAGAATTCTACATTCCCTGAAGCTGAAACTGAAATTGAAATATGCAAGGCTATGGCCTATTTAAAAAAAAAGAATATTGAGAAATCTATAGAAACACTCAAAGGATTTGAAAAAAAGGATAAGCAAATTATGGCTCGAATTGCTACAAACATCTCCTTCCTGTATTTCTTAGAGAATGATTATAAGCAGGCTGAAAAATATGCTGAAATTGCCATTACATATGATAGATATAATGCAAAGGCTTTAGTTAACAGAGGAAATTGTTTATATGTGAAAAATGAATTCTTGAGAGCAAAAGAATAATATCTAGAAGCTATAGGTGTTGAAGCAGATTGCATAGAAGCACTCTACAATTTGGCCTATGTAAATAGAAAATTGAATATGTTTGTTGAATCCTTGTAGGCATTAGATAAATTATAAACTATTGTCTGTATCCCTGAAGTGTTGTATTAAATGGCCACGTTGTATGAGATGACAGGAAACTCAAAATAAGCTATGAAATGGTATCTAGAATTGATGAACAAAGTACCAAATGATCCCAATATTCTAGCCAGATTAGGTTCACTTTTTGCAAGGGTAAATTATCTCATACAATTAATTAATAGGAAGACGATGAGCCTCAAGCATTGCACTATTTTTAAGAATCCTATAGAATATTACCAACAAACATAGATACTATATCATGGTTGGGAGTTTACTATGTGAAATAGGAAATGTATGAGAAGGCAAGCATGTATTTTGAGAGAGCAGCACAAGTGTAAACAAGAGATGTGAAGTGGAAATTAATGGTTGCAAGTTGTTATAGAAGAATGGGACATTTCCAAAAGGCATTAGGGAACTATTAAAAAATCTATTCTGACTATCCTGATAACATTGAATGTATGAATAAAAATTACTTACTTTTTAGGTCTCAGATTCTTGGTGCAATTGTGTAGAGAAATGGGATAGCCTTATGAAGAATATGCAGGATAATTAAGAAAATTGGAAAGAGAAATGGAGATGATGGAAGGGTATTAGGGCGGTTAAGACATAAATTTAATCAATAATGAAGAAGAATAGGTTCGATTACCTTAAGGAGATGATAATCCAGTTAGTTTCACAAATAACACAAGGTAACTATCAGTATGACTTAATTTATAGGAGAGGTAATAAGCAGCCACCTCCTAAGACAAATGTAAGATAGAATTTAGATGATGAACAATTCTAAGATGGGGTAGAGGACAACTTTTTACCTTGATATAATATAAAAATCTAAATATATTGATAAATTTCTGTTTTATGAAGACATCAACAGCCATCAGGTCTTATGAATTCAGGTGCAACACTTGGACATCTCTCGTTCATATTTTCATAAGGTTCAACTGTATTATATCCTTCTAATTCTATTCTGTGAGTTCCCATCAATTGGCAATAGGGTAATTTTGGATCATTCTTCTTACATTTTTCTGGGACCTTATAATTCGAATCAAAGAATTTCAATTGATAGATATCTTTTGGTGTAAACCTATGTTAATATTGTGGACTTACTCAAGTGCTTCAATATGGAAGGGTTTGAATAAGCCAGCAGCTTTGTACATGCTAGTTACAAAGGCAGCACACGCTTGACTTGGACCATCACTATATACCCATTCATCTCTTTCTACCATGGCATATAAATCAGCCTATAGATATAAATAGATGATCTACCAATTCTATTCCTTGTTTTGCAGCTTCAATTGCAACTTCAGATACTGATAATCCTTCTGTGCCCAATCTTTTATTTAAAGCTTCTCCAACCAAAGAAGTGATTGGTCCAGGTGCTATTTTTTCAAAGAAAGAAAACATATAAGTGGCAAATTCTGCACTCAATGGTTTTGGATAATTATCAGTTGGAGTATCAATCCAACCAAATAAAAATGTGTGATATCCATATGGTTATCCTTCCATCTTTTTCCAATAAGCTAAAGCAGCTTCTTAATCCCATTATGCTCTCTTTTCTGGACTCAATGGTAAAATAGCAACATTATATCCAGCATTCTTAGCATAGACCTTCCAATCTTCCCATTTAGTCTTTTGTATTTTTTTTGTTGGCCAATACCAAGCATCTTATGATTCAATGACGTATTTTTCACCATCAATTTCAAAGATCATAGCACTGTGTCCAATTCGGCCTCCAGTTCCCCATTCTATGATTTAATCTAATCCATCAAATCTAGTAACAGCTAGAAAATCTCCGTTATTTGTTTCATTAGCCTTTAAATCCACAACAACATTTGGTCTTTCTTACCATCTATAACCAGTTGCTCTTTCTATTAATTCTATGTTTGATCTTACCATCCATTCAGGGGGTTGACTATTATATTTAATATTTAGAGTACCTTCCAAAGATTGGACCCAAATATGGATTACTTGAAAATCCACCAAAAAATAATTCAAACGTCATCAAAAGATCACCAAACCAATTTTCCAAATAATCGCAAGTTCTGAAGATATAAGCACCTGAATATTTAAAGGCTTCAATTTATTTTTGATTTCTGAAATTAAAATAGACTTTGTGATCCTTTTCTAAATTAAATTAATTATAATAAATTTTACTATCTTTAATGTTGACAATATTGTAATTCAAGGTTGTTCCAATCAAATAGAATTCTGAACATTATTAGTTATTCTTGTAATTTCCTGGAGTGAATGTAACACATACACGACTATATAGAGTATAAAACTAACTTTTCATTTTCATTTATATCATATGATACACTCATTGACTCGTAGCAATCGTCCTCTTACTTGATCAATTCAATATTATTCTAACCACCATTTCCAATCCTTCCAGCATTTTGAAAAAACATTCCAAAGAATTCATGATGATCTGTTTTTCTACAACCGATTACTTAGGTCTCATCTATATAGAAGTTATAATTATTTACTTAGTCTCATAAATGTGTTCATCATCTTCTCATATTTCAGTTTAGGGTCTTCCTCATCGTACATGGTAATTTCTGTAACGACTTCGTTTTCGAATTCTTCCTCTATGTGTGTTCCGTGTAGCCTATCATATATGGTTTACTTTCCAAAACTACAAATTAAAAGCAAAGCAAAAATTAGAGAAAATTTCGTCATTACAAATAACAATTATTTATTTTTATAGGGATATATTTCAATAGTTTTAAACCATATTTGAAATTATTCTTATTTAATTTAAAAAAATGTAGATTTTAACCATTATAGGCGTAGTTGTATCAACTACTTTTGGTGTATTTTTTATAAGTGGGTGTGGAGCTTATCTAACCCATAAAAAAGTTATCACAAAATAACTCACAAGCTAACTTTCTAGTTTAACAGAGCATTTATTTATTCCAACTTTAATTTTTACCAATTTTCTAAAGAGTCTCACCCTGGAAATACTACACCAATATATCCCGTGTATGATCATCACCTTATTATGTTTTATTTTTGGATATTTACTTGGTACTCTTAGTAATAAATATTGGATTAAGGAGAAAGCACTGAATTCAGTTATAATTTTAGCTTCAGCCAACCCGCAAACTACCAATTTACAATTATAACTATGTTATGGTCTGAGCAAGTGGTTTGCCATGATGACTAATTAACCTGAAAAATAAGTTGAAACTACACTTATCACTACTGTGATTATTTAAACCGTTATCATGACCTCAATCAGATGGACTATAGGAAGAAGCATTTTACAATAATAGGAGATGGAACTAGAAATGACAAATCTATCCGAACCATAGTCTCAATGTTTGATGATGCCTTTATCATCGTAATTGCCATTTAAGAGTGAAAATGATTTTTAAAAGAAGTCATTTTGGAATGCTCCTTTGACTGCAGCAGTAGTATCAATTGCTTGTATATGCGTCCCAATAGTTTAAACTACCATTCTGTCCAACCAATTAATTTACAATACAATATTTGCACCACTTTAAACAATATCAAAAGCCACATCTCCTATTATATTGCTGATTCTCGGAAGCAGTCTTTACGAAATCTACATGGGAAACTCAGCAAGCTTTGGAAAACATTAATCACTATTATACATAGTATTCAACAGAATACTATTGATGCCAATAATTGGTATGATTATAGTAATATTTGTACTGAGCCAAAAAATAATTGATGATAAATGTTAATTGTTTATGCTATTTCTAACATTTTGTACTCCATCATCAATTAATATACTATTATTAGCAAAATAATATCAACAATCAACTGAAGAAATAGTGGCTATTGTTTTATTACACAGTTATCTCTTAGCTATAATCACATTGCCTTTATGGATGATCATATATTTGATCATATTCATTGCATGAGTAAAATATGTTTACAGATCTGTAGATTAATATCATTAAAGAATAATTAGTTATATATTGATCATAAATATATATATTAATCAATTATTTCTTAATTTAAATTCATACAAATAAGTAATTTTCCTCAAGGTTTCCTTTGTGAAAAGAATATAAAGAGTGATAGAAAGTATTCAGAAATTTAAATATTTCATTAAATTTTGTTTATGATTTTTATAAATATTATTCGAGCGGTAGTCTCAGCAACATTTGGTGTTTTAGCCATTGCAGGCAGTGGTGCCATTCTAACCCACACAAAAGTCATGAACAAATAATTCACTACAACCCTATCCAGTCTAGTTGAAAGGCTATTCCTACCATCTTTGATTTTTACCAACTTTCTTAAAGCAGTCACAATTAGTTCTCTAATTACATTAATACCTAGTATTATCACAACCTTTTGCTGCTTATTCTTTGGTTACTGCATAGGATTATTTAGCAATAAGTATTGGATCAAAGAAAAAAAACTAAACTCCATTGTCATTTTATCATCTGCAAACCCACACACTACTAATATTTAACTGCAACTTTCTTATGGACTAACAACCTATCTATCAAAAATGACTCAATAACCAGAAAAATAAATTGAAGTGAAATTAGTCACCATAATTATTATTTAAACTGTGATAGTCAATGCTTTAAGATGGTCCATAGGAAAAACAATATTAGAATAGCATGAAAGTGATTAGAATCAAGCTGAGATTGAACTTTCTGATCTAAGAATAGCTTTGCCAGAATAATAAACGTAAAACAAAAATGAAACAAAAGGAGAAAAGTCTTTTTGGAATATGCCTCTATTATCAGTGCTAGCATCATTATGTTGTTTAGTTCTGTATCCAATTTAAGATGAATTGATAAATGACACATTTCTCCACAGTGCTATATTCTTGCCTTTACAAACAATCTCGAAAGCAACTACCCCATCTGTCTTGATGATTCTAGGATCTAACTTATATTTAATTTATTTTAATAATTCATCCTAATAAGAAAAGACATCCACAATCATTCAAATAGTAGCTAATAGATTAATACTCTTACCCTTCCTAGGATTGGCGACTATTTTGCTATTGGATAAACTATCAATTATGACAGACATTTGTCAACTATTTATTTTATTTATAACATTTTGCACTCCATCTGCTATAAATATTTTGGTCATGGCCAAACAATACTAATAAAATGCTGAGGATGTTGTATCATTGATTCTATTATATGGATATATAGGATGTATTATTACAATGCCTATTTGGATGATAGTTTATCTAGCCATATTCTAAAGCACCTGAAATATATGTATATTTTATATTGTGTTTTATATATATATCTAATTGTCAAAATACTAATTTATCAAATCATCAAATTAAATCTCCATTATCTTCTTAGAACTAATTAATATTTTTGTTAAGGATATGACATTTAAAATAAATAGATTCTCTTTTTTACATATCAAAGAATCTATTTGATTTTCGGAAATTATTTCACTGTTTAAAATAAAAATAAACATATATTAAATATACATTTTTAGGTTCTATGTTTGATCGTAAAATTTTTATCGTTTTTGGTTTTACACTATTTAAACTTTAGCAATACTCAAATGTCTAAGTCTAGTACCTAAAAAAATAACAAAAGTAGACTAAATTGAAAATTAAGAGAAAAAATTGGACTTTCAAGAACTTTTATTCAATTAAGAAATAAAGTAATAGAATAAAAAATTGTTTTATAATTACAATACATCTAAGGTTTATAGCCTAAAATAATATAATGAATCCTGATCCAAATTTATAATATGTCAGATTATAGTTCCCTTGTCCTCCAGTTTGCCCTTGTTAATCAAAAGCAAGAAGGGATTGGGTTCATCTGGATTGCTATAAAAACTCATATATAACAGAGAAAGGAGATATTTTTTGTAATCAATATGATTGCCAAAGTTATTTTATAAAAGATGCGCAATTCCAATGTTAAGAGGCAGAATAAAACTCAAGCTTTTATAAATATAAATCAATAAGTGAATTTGCAATGGGATTGGCTTTGGCTATATAGGCTGCTGATTTCGCATTGAAAGGTAATAATTTAGTAAAATTTGTAACAACTCTCAACTCTTAAGTGGCGATTAGATGGAATTCTTGAATTTCTAATTTTATAGATAATAGTTGTTAATATTAATAAGTTTAGAATTATTTAAAGTTCTTAATAAACTGTTTTTGTATTAGAGATGGAACAAGGATTCATCTTGCGATTTCTTATTTTAGTACGAGAGGAGGATCTAGTTAATTTTACAGTAAATAATTTATTTGAACATCCAATAATCTCCATACACGTTTCATATATTTGATTTGAATATAGAAAATAAAGAAATCAGAATTATTGTAAATACAAATAAATTAAAAAGTATTCCTGTTAGCTAAGTACAAAGATGATAATTAAAATAATAGAATTTATCTAACAAAAGAGATTAATTGAATTAATAGATATTTTATTATTATTTTTCAAAAATTGAATATTAATTATAAATAACAAAAGTTAAATAATGAAATAAATAAAATGAATTTCGAGAATTATGATATTATTTATTCATTGATTTAATATTTAAATATTCACTATAGTTTTTTCTGTGACGGCTTAATCATAAACTACATTTATAATTTCAAGTGATGATGATTGCATATTAATTTTTAAATGATTATATTGTGGAAATGCTTATTAAAACACAGGAAAGAAACCAACATAATTCATTTAGGTAAAACAATTATAGGAAAAAGAGTGAGTCTTTTAAGAGCTACAAGAATTGCATTTATTAAATTCGGCTTTGATTTTCTTTCCATTCTCACATTTAATCTAAATCCCCAACTTAAATGGCGCATTTGATTTATCAACATAATATACATAATTTCCGTTTGAAGTGTAAATTTAATTAGATTAAACGAATTCTAAATAAAATGTAGGAGGTATTGTTAAATTCTTCACTTATTTTCTACTGGTTCTTATTGTAAAACATTCTAAAGGTTTAAATATCTTTGTAAATTAATATGCAATCCAAATCTGAGAATGACTATTTGGAGTCTCAGTTTAATCCCCTTTATTTTAATTATAAATAATTACAGGTCTGCCAAGTATATGATATCGTTGTAGCTGTGTTACTGTATATAGATTTTATTCTTAAATTATTAACATTTGGATAATTTAATCCTTGCAATGCTATGGCAAACCATCTATTCGGCTGTATTGCAAGAGCACCACTACTGAATCCTCCAGTTGTAGTCTTTAATCCTAAATTAATGAATGCTTCTTCTACTCCTACGACTACAAAATACCCAATCTATTTAAGATTTGTAAACTTTCCTGCCTCTTTAGTAATACTGACTGTCACTGAATTAGTTGTTATTTTGCTTATCTATGTATATTATAAAATGGTTACCGATAACAGAAAATCGATTTTTCCTGTATAACGAATACTTGTGATTACTACAAACCCAGTTTAAGCATTTGGATTTTTAATTTAAAAGGTTTTATCATCAGGATTCTCCATATTGAAGTTACTTAAAACTTAAATACGTTAGTCATCAATAGCAAACCATTTTAGCTTCAGGGTATATACTCTATTCAAATTACAACTAATTTCTAATGTAAATGCTATTAACATAATCGATTTTTATAAAGTACATGTTTTAGTAATAGATGTTATTGCTAATTTAAACCCCAATTCAGCTATTTCTTAATCAAAGTATTCATTAGTGAAAAATATTTGAGGAATTTACTCAAATTAATTTGAGAATGTTGTGGTTGCTATTTTAGAGTAGCCATTTTTGCAATTAAAACTTGAATATGCAATATAATCAAAGTCTTAAAGTATTCCAGTGTCGTAGTAAATGTAGCAGGACCCAAAGCTTAAAATAGTCACTAATAAAGTGAATTTAGCCATTTTTTAATAATAATCTTTTTGATTTTCAAAATTTATGAAAACACAAATCAATTTATTTTTTAATTATAATGAGTTTTCAGGAAAATTGATATTAATAGAGGGTAAAACTTTTCAGATTAGTAAATTTATTGCAGAATGAATTTTTGACACTAAACCTTTAAATATTATCGAATCTAAAGACATTTTAATCTTTTGTCTTTCTTGCAAAAGGCTCTTTTTCATGATTTGCATAAAATTAAAGTATAAATATAAGAAATTTCATTAAAAATAATTCAATCGCAATATATATACAAAGAGATATTAGTTAACCATTTAAGGACCACTTAATTATGTACTTATCAACAATCATGTAATAAAAATGAAAATACAAGATTTAAATTTTTAATCGGTTTAAAAGAATTTTTAAATAATATGAAAAAAAAACATAATATTTAGTTATAATTTAAATATAAGTAAGATTTTCAAGATATTGATGAATAATATATTCAACTAACTTAGAAAATATAAGCATTTAATAAAATTATGAAACCTTTTTCTACTTTGAACCTGAATCATTCAATTAGCCTGAAATCAAAATAAAAGGTTAATCGATAGTTAATTGGTTTTGAATTTAAAACTTAAAATTATGGAATTTCCTAGTAATTCATAGAAAAGAGCATGGTCCAGATTTCAAAAAGTTAGATAACACATTTTCATGAACCGAAAATTTTTTCATTATTTCTTCATTTTAGTGTAATTTCAGATTTTGAGGAATTGAATAAATTTCAAATTTAAGCAAATTAAAATAATAGCCTTATAAATTTAATTTGCTATTTTTTTTGAAATATCTTAGTTAGAAGATTAGTAACAGTTAAAAGAATCAAAGCAAATGTGGAAAAAGATAAAAATTTCATTTCTTTGATAAATCTATTATTGTTAACGCAAAGGAAAACTGTTACAGGGTCAATATTTGATATTAGAAGATCAATACTAAAAAGTTTTAAAAAATACAAAGTCATAATATTAATATGATGTTATCTTTAGGATTCTAGTGTTTCCAATTAATAAGAAGGTTATTAAAATTTTATTTATTTATATTCATATAAATATATTCATTTTTTGATCGATGACCAATGTACTACAACTTGATAATTATTTTGCTCAATAATTTCTTGATTAAAATTATTTTGTTTGGGGCCAAATAATTTATATTTAAAATCCTTAAGGAATTCTATCATTGAAGTATTTATTGGCATGGTTTCTTCTATAATAAAGCCATTTCCATCTAAAAAGCCCTTAATTTTAATTTTCTTATAAAACTCTCCAATTAATGTAACAACATTCTATTGAATTGCAAACTTAAAATCATTTATGGTATAAATATTGCATAGATCATATGATATTTCATTATTAATTTAATATTACTAAGCGCTATGTTATAATTGGAAATCCTCTTTAATTTTTTCAAATATCTCTTATAGAGAAATGTCATTGTATGTAAAAAATTACATTTTATCAATCCCCTCTATCATAATAATTTTTCTCTAAAAACGTTTAATCTATTTACTTTTAATGAGTGCAAATTTTGATTTTTCTTATGAATCTTGATTAGGTTATATTTTTGGAACCATTAATTAAATTATAATACCTTCTTTGGTTTGAAAATCTTAAATTAATCTAACATCAAAAGGTTGAACTTCTGCTCCATTTATAAAAAAAATAAATGGCAACGAAGGATCAATTTAATAATTTTGGAATAATTCTACCAAAATATCATGAAAAACAGAGGATACTGGAGTAGTTTTTAGTTATTCCACAAACAATTAAATATTAGTGTTTTTCAAATCCACTAAAACTTTATATAATCTGTTATTATTTTTAGTTTTGGTTTAATAGCCTAATAATTTTAATCTAATATAGAGTGTGCAATTATTTTTAAAACCCAACATTTGAAGGGTTTTGTTTTCATATTGTGAAATGAACATTCCTGTGTCCAATTAAAGCTCTAAATGTTCTTCATACTATGTTTGCATTCTTTAAGCAAATATTTATTCTTTGATTCCATTTATAAAAATGTATAAGGGTATTTCTGAGGGGATCGAAGTTTGTAAATTTAAGCTTGCTTATTATAACAGAACAACAATATTAACATTGATACAATCACTTTGATTTTATTCTCTAACTAAAAGCTGATTCATTTTTAATTAATTTCTTTTTCTATTAAAATAAAAAAATTATTAAATGCATTATCTTTGTTTTATAAAAAAGATTATAAAAGGTTATAGTTTAATCTGATAAACCATGGTACCCTAAAATGAGACAAAAACTTAAAGTGAGACCTTTATTAAACGAAAATTTGATATTTTTGTATTACCTCTTAATAAGTTGATTATATAATTAAATAGCCAAAAGTACATAACTTTATCCATCTTAGTCAAAGTAATAGCTTAAACAATTAGGTTTGATGAATAAATAATTAAGGTTAAATAATATAAGGTTAAGAACCTTGAATCTAGTTAATTTAAATTAGCTAATTTGGATTATCCTTCTGCATTTTAATCAAATACACCAAATATTATCAGTCATTTTTATCTTCTCAAATATAAAATAGGCTTTGATCATCAGCATTAGATTTAAATATTCTCTAAATTTCTTTATAGTTTTCTAATTAATAAATTTACATATCCCATTTAGCAATGTCTTATTATTTTCGAAATACACTGACCAATTGTAATGGCTTTTCCTCATCCATGATATAATCCTCCACCACTGAAAGAGATTTCATGAATAAAAAAAAAAATAGATAATTTAATTATTCAATTAGAAAGTTCCTAAACATTTCCATCATTTTAAACTTTACAAGTTGTCTAACTTTAACCATAACTAAATCTTTTTGTAAGAAGAATAGAGTCTAAAGAATGTAGATTTTGCTTTCCATGCTTTTATACATCTGAAATTGAAGAAATAAAGACATAGTATGATAGATGCACATAAGTTTTCTCATAAAGGTTAGATATAGGACTTCAATAATAATATTCATTTTTCAACATTCGAAATGGATATACAAGATTCCATACCAATTATATTCGTTAGCATTCATGAGAATCAATTCAATATTAGTGGATGCAGATTTAAATATATTTAACATACAAATTTTGTTAATACATAAATTGAAAATTTTTGCACATAATTTTTGAATTAACAGCATGTACACTAATTAAATATAAACCTTCAAGATGCTTATTTCACCTTCAAATTCATTTAGCTTATATGAATGAGCATCATTAAGTTTTACTATTTGATTAAATAAAATATGCAATAATAAGGATCTATCAACCAAAATTCTGAATTGATTAATGCATTGATATTCAAAGAAAAATAAAGTTGACACCATATTCAAAGCTTTCAATAGGATGATATCATTTGGTGGCTCAAAATCAACGATAGAATACCAAATTTAGATTGATTTTGGAATTTTAATATTCTTGTTAGATACTAAACAATCAAGCTTTCCTCTTCTTCTCTTTATATCAAAAGATTCTGGAGATAATTCTCAAAAGTTATGTTCGGAAGATGCAAAATTGAAAATTAAAACAACAGCAAGCGAGAAATGAGCAATCGAAAAGGCTGAAACAAGACTGCATTAGATTTATAAATAAGCTTTAAGTTATGGAGGTAATATATCAATCAATTGATTAAGTGATTAAAATAGTCAAATAATAATGTGTTGAAGCATCTGTTAAATCTATTGAAAGGCGATAATCACAATTTCAAAACCAACCAAGGTTTAATGATATTAGGGTGTGAAAGAAAAGCTCTACAGTAATTCTTAAAATTCTATGACAATTAATTAAATCACTAATCAAATATTCTCTTTATGAGATAGTAGAACCATTAATACCCTTAGATAATAAAATATGTTAGTCTTAATTTTTTAATGTTGCAAATCGTCAATCTTAATGAGAGGGATATAAGGAATCCTTGATTATGTCCATTTATTATGGGAAATACTGAATTTTTCTCGACTACTTATTTGGTCTGGCTTAGAGATTTAAAAAAAGTTGTTCTTTTTTGAAGTTTATATCAATTAAATAGATTTTTTATGCTCCTGCATTTAAAATGTTCAATTTTGTATCTATAAACATGGTCTTTCCTTAATCTATTCTTTGATTAAATGTTAAAATCACTTTTCCTAATTCGTATGTAAACTACATTAATGAATTTATAAAAAGAAGATATCAATTGCTAAATTAGCCTAATATATTATTAAAGGACTGAAAAAGATTATTCAAGAAAGAAAATATTTATTAATTTTAAATATAACTGGATATCTTAATGTTTAAATAGATTAAAATATCCACTCTAGTAAATTTATTTAAATTGCCAGTAACTATCCTTTAATTTGAAATCAATAGATTTTAAATATTTAAAGACAATTAATTTAAAGAACTCATTAGACAATACTGAAAAATTGTGATAGAAATAAAAACGAAAATAAATAATACTTAAACTGTATCACTTGGCATTAGTGATTGAATATAACCATAGTTCAAAATCACTATTGAATTGTCATTTAATAAGCATAAATTCATTTTTAAATGAATTATATTGATTAGTTTTTTAATGCGAAATATTTGGATTGAATTCAAGTAAANATTGATATTCAAAGAAAAATAAAGTTGACACCATATTCAAAGCTTTCAATAGGATGATATCATTTGGTGGCTCAAAATCAACGATAGAATACCAAATTTAGATTGATTTTGGAATTTTAATATTCTTGTTAGATACTAAACAATCAAGCTTTCCTCTTCTTCTCTTTATATCAAAAGATTCTGGAGATAATTCTCAAAAGTTATGTTCGGAAGATGCAAAATTGAAAATTAAAACAACAGCAAGCGAGAAATGAGCAATCGAAAAGGCTGAAACAAGACTGCATTAGATTTATAAATAAGCTTTAAGTTATGGAGGTAATATATCAATCAATTGATTAAGTGATTAAAATAGTCAAATAATAATGTGTTGAAGCATCTGTTAAATCTATTGAAAGGCGATAATCACAATTTCAAAACCAACCAAGGTTTAATGATATTAGGGTGTGAAAGAAAAGCTCTACAGTAATTCTTAAAATTCTATGACAATTAATTAAATCACTAATCAAATATTCTCTTTATGAGATAGTAGAACCATTAATACCCTTAGATAATAAAATATGTTAGTCTTAATTTTTTAATGTTGCAAATCGTCAATCTTAATGAGAGGGATATAAGGAATCCTTGATTATGTCCATTTATTATGGGAAATACTGAATTTTTCTCGACTACTTATTTGGTCTGGCTTAGAGATTTAAAAAAAGTTGTTCTTTTTTGAAGTTTATATCAATTAAATAGATTTTTTATGCTCCTGCATTTAAAATGTTCAATTTTGTATCTATAAACATGGTCTTTCCTTAATCTATTCTTTGATTAAATGTTAAAATCACTTTTCCTAATTCGTATGTAAACTACATTAATGAATTTATAAAAAGAAGATATCAATTGCTAAATTAGCCTAATATATTATTAAAGGACTGAAAAAGATTATTCAAGAAAGAAAATATTTATTAATTTTAAATATAACTGGATATCTTAATGTTTAAATAGATTAAAATATCCACTCTAGTAAATTTATTTAAATTGCCAGTAACTATCCTTTAATTTGAAATCAATAGATTTTAAATATTTAAAGACAATTAATTTAAAGAACTCATTAGACAATACTGAAAAATTGTGATAGAAATAAAAACGAAAATAAATAATACTTAAACTGTATCACTTGGCATTAGTGATTGAATATAACCATAGTTCAAAATCACTATTGAATTGTCATTTAATAAGCATAAATTCATTTTTAAATGAATTATATTGATTAGTTTTTTAATGCGAAATATTTGGATTGAATTCAAGTAAAGCAAATTTGATATCACTTATTAAGAAATAGTAAAGAAATAAGGAGTCTAAGAAATTAATAAAATGGAGGTTTCCTAGTAAATAATCTATTTTTAGTAATCTGGATGATGATAACATTTTTATTAGTTCTCATAGGAATATAATTGTATTAAACAATTAATATCATTATCAAGCATCTAAGATGATAAAAATTATAATGTCAAGAATCTTCAATTATTTGTATATTAATATATAATTAATATTATTAACTAATATGTCAAATATTTCTGTATCCGCACCTTTAATCGGAATTATAGTATATTTAGGTTTGGGTTTAAGATTCCAGACCACTTTTTAAATTAAAATAGTCTAAGTAATTTTCTTAAACCCTTTGCTTTGATAACCACTTTTTGTCGATATCCCATATAAAAAATAAATATTCATAATAACACTGTTCAGTTTCCTTGTAATAATAATAGTTGTGAAACGTAATCTAAACTGGAAATTGTTAACCATTATAATTGCACACTTGCATATTGTTCACTGACTGATTGAATGTGTTTAAAGTAAAGAAATTGCTTAGATATTATCCACTACTATTATCTTCTGAAAAGTATAAAGGAATAGGTAAAAATCCTGTCTCCATGGCATGGTGTACTGCCATTTCAGAGTTAATGCCTATGGCATTTAAATAAAGGTCATTCATAAATCGTTATTGAGTTATTACTTAGTCTTCAAATACTTTCGATATATAACCAGTACATGGTTTATTAATTGCATTTTCAAAATTAAGCAAATCTAATTCCTTCATTACTTTGTATTGGGTTGAATCTAATTTTTTGCGATGTAATTTCTCGAATGATTATTTTAATACTTCATTTCTACTGCCTAAGAGTTGAATAACATTTTCAACAGGAGTAAAACTCCTCTAAATGGGGTCAAACGTAACTGTTGTAATGCTACCTTGTCTATCAATTCTATTGATTTTATAATTGTAACAATAAAAGTCATTATTAAGTTACCCAAGTTGATATTGGTTATCACTATTTCTAGGTATTTACACATTTGATTTCAATCTAAATATATTATCCATCACTATCGTCTTTGGTATACTTAATTGGATAAAGTCGACCAATTTACATGCTTTCAAACCATTTTATTCAAAAAAGTAATCCTAAAACTTGTCATCTTTTGTATTATATTAATTTTTTTGCTTCTTCTTATAGATGCTCTTCTTTATTAATATTTCATAATCTTAATCTATAGATTTTTTTGCCAAAGTAATCATATTAAAAATTTAATAAAAGATAATTAATCCAAATTTTTTATTTTTAAGATAAATTAAAAGAACACATAATTTTATAGATTCACCTTTACTTTTTTCTAAAGATTTGTAGGTTTATCACTTAATTCATGTTTAAGTAGCTCTTCCGAATATTTGGAAAATTCTATATTATGACAAAAATTCTTTTTAAATAAACTTAATTAATAAAATTTTCAGATAGTATTAATTATTATATTTTTTTAGTTCTAGGTTTAACTAAAATTGAGAACGCTTTTTATTTCAATTCGTTATTGCAAATGAAGTATGATTAGGTGCAGTTTTCAATAGGCGTACAGAAACATTTTATTTTGTGAATATTACTAAAACGAAACTTGATTGGTTTAATCAATCTTGATGAATAATTTTATAATTACATTACATTAAGCTTGTAGTAATATACCTGAAGGATCAGATATATTTAAGCTTTTCATGAAAGGCTAAATGAATAATTAAAGAATACAAAGCGTTAACAAAATGGCTATATATGAATATAAAAAGAATGTTGAATAAATTTAGCATCTCTATTAGGTCTGAAAATCATATATTATCCAGTATTTTTGGGATATTACCAACATTAGAATTATTTAATAAGTAAGCCATGAGAAGTGTAAGTTGGAAAGAAAGCTAGATAATGGAATCGAAATCATAATAGTACTAAATAAATCAATTAATAATAATAAATTTGAATTAGTCAATAGATGAGAAGGTTTAATTGAAATTTTTAGTCATAGAAAAGTATATTTGATTTATTATCTCAGGATATTTTGCTCTTTACCATATTATAATTCATAATTATATTCTTACATATATTTAATTCTAGCTCCATCTCTAACAAATTTAATGATTAATTAAAGTTTGTTTACTAAAGCGAGATATCATAGCTTTATTCTCACTATTTCTTTAGAAATAAATTTTCAATTATTATGTTGATTATTACTATATTATTTTATTGATACAAATGTAATTTTGATTAATTAGGTATTTTAACAATTTATTGAGATTTTTTGCTTTTCAATTTTATTTGTTTTATTCAATCGCTTTTCAATATTTCTTTGCACTGTTTTATTAAATACTTAAAATCTATAATAATTAGCTAACAACTATTAAAGTCCTGAATAAGATATATGAAGATTTTTCAAAATCTCAAAATAAAAGTCCTTCAAAAAGTTAACAATATTAAGTCTTCGTAAAAAAAATAATGGCTTTCATTATTTTTTTCCACTGTTTTCACAATTCATCTGCCAAATCTCATTCTTAATTGTAAAATTGAATATGCCAAGAGTTTGCTTTAGGCAACTATTTCATCAATTTGCAAGAGTAATATTTTTGAAGTCTCCTTCAGTTTTAGATGGGATGAATTCTAGCACCCTTGCTTGGATAATTGAAATTTGCTAGGCTAATTCAATTTTATTTATTTGCAATTCTTTAAGTTCTATGAATCTAATCATATTGCATCTAACATCCTAATAACTAGCTAAGAACTATATTACAACTGATTCAGCATAAAGGAATAGAGTTCAACTAGATGGCAAAATTATTGGTTTTGATAATTAAATTATAATAGCTCAAATTAATACTAGTATTGATTTTGAAACTTGCTATATAATTGCTAAGAGAAATTAAATACAATCTATTCATTTTGATTATTTTAGTAATATTTAAGTTTAATCAATAAAATGACTATGCTATTGCACACAAACTGTTTCGAAAATTTTATAAAATCTAAAAATTGTTAACTCTACTGACAGGATTTTTTCCTAATATTTAATTATTCAATTGAAGGATCGGGAGAAAAAACTCTTTATTTAAGAATTTTGTTTAATTATTAATGAAAAATTTTTATATTGCAAATATACAATTTTATTAATTTTTCATAAATTTTTAATAGCATTTATAAAAAATATCTGATTTTAATTTATTGCATATTTCATGTTCGAGCCTTTCATATGGTAACAAAATCCCAATCTTAAATATAATCATTAAGACAATAATCAGAATCAACTAAATCTTTTCTAGCTTTTTCAGATTAAGGGAAAACTTTAATTAGCTATGGAATTTTGATCTCCTTTTTTTCTAATAAGTTCCAATTTAAATTTTAAAAAAACTTATGTTTTTTCATTTACTCGATGTTTATTCTCTCCAAAGCATTCCTTTTTAAAATTAATCTTAAAAGATCTCTTGCATCCTCATTTAAATTCATTGGAATATGTATAGATTCTAAATAAATGCATAAAAATACCATTTTTAATTCTATTGATTAATATATTTATCTCTCTTGTATAAAATGGAGGATATCCAGTAAGCATTTCATATAATAATAAACCTATTTAGTAGACATCTGTTGATTTGGATATTCCATTATTGTTGAGAACTTCTGGGGCAAGATATGCTGGAGATCCACAAAGTGTATATGTTAATTCGTTCTCTGTTATAAATTTACACAACCCAAAATCTATTAGTTTTATATAACTTGAAGCATCAATGCAAATATTTTCTGGCTTTAGATCCCTGTATAAGATATCGTGCTTATGCAAATGCTCAATAGCAAGGACTATTTATCCAATTAATAATCTGCTGATATTCAAATCAAGGATTACACCTCTCGTCATAAACATAGCTAAATCCCCCTATTACAATAACTCAAGTACTAAATACAAATTTTTTGTTGTCTGAAAGGCTAAAAAGGTATAATTTATTTCTTACACATTAGATATTTTACAATGAAAGGGTGATTAATTGTTCTTAAAATTTTAACCTCAGTCAAAACATATTCCAAGTTATTTGATTGCTTTAATCTTTGTTTATCCTGTTGCTTCAAAGCCCAGACTTTATTTTTAAATTCAACTTTATAAACATATCCAAATGATCCTTTTCCAATACAAGTTAAAATTTTAAAGTCACTCAATTTTATTGATTATTATTATAATTATTATTAATGATCTTATTAAGAATTAGGTTTATTTGATGAATTTTTATTGAAATTTTAAACAATCAAATTAGGATCTTCAATTTCAATTAATTGCAATTTTGTGTTTAATTCCATTTCGTAATAGAAATATTATGCGGCTTTTTTGTCATTATTTTTTTAATAACAGTCTATATATTTATTAGTGAAATGTTAATAATATTTTTTTGCTTATTCCAATCTTTCTCTCCAGCTTTATGCTATATCATTGCTTTGAAAGCCATACCATACTGCTTTATTGTTGGAGTATTTAATTTCTAGATAAAAAACGTGAGACTTTGAAAATAAAAGGTTATTGCTTAGTTTTACAGAGTTTATCAATTCTATTGCCATTATTTCGTTTGGTTTTAATGGATAATCTTCCTTACTTGAATAAGTTGCAAATATTCCATTTATAGGGTCTAAATACAAAAATCTCCTGGAATGATTAAAACCAAGCCAACCAACCTTTTGTGCAAATCCAGTGATTAGTACAGGTATTTCAAGTTAATTAAAAAGAAGACTCTTTATAAATAAATGCTTACATCTGAATTGATAAAAGAATTTGAAATCAAAATCAAAGATTTCTACATCCTCTCTTGTTACAATAATAATTTCTTGGTTGTTGATCCAGCTACCTAAAATGGGGTCTAATTTTTGAATTTCAGATTGATATCAATTTTTGGATGCTTGAGTAAGAGCGCCATAATTTCTTCATTATCGTATTAAGCTGCGATATGCAAAGCAGTTCCTCTTTTTGATAAGTAATTTGGATCTTTAATATTTGCTATTAATGCTTAAACTAAATTAACATGTTATCTGTAGACAGCAATTGTCAGGCAATTCATTTGATTATCTGAGATTGCATCGACATTTGCCCCATTTTGTATTAAGAGTAATAAAATTTTCATATTACCTATCCATACTGCTAAGTGAATTGGTTAATATCTGATTTAGTAATTGATTATATCAATATTCTCACTTTTCGCTTATAAAATTAAGCTATTTATTAATTGAATATTATTTTAATTAATGGCTTTAATTAACTCAATATGCCGTTCTTATAGATTGAATGATTCATAACTTTCTTCAGACATTAAAAAATAAAATAAATAAATAAAATAATTAGTTTTATATTTTAATAAACTAAAAAAATTTAATAAGTTATATTTGATATTTGATTTAGTTGCTTGTTTTAAATAAGATGATGTTAATGCCATTAAGTTTGATGGATATTATAAGTCTCTCAAAATCTTATTGCAATCTTGCATTTCCCTATCATAAATGGTGTTAAAATTCCCATGTTGACATTTAAAACATATCATGGGGATAATATTTACTATCCTTTCAAATATTTGCTTTATGTTCTTTTTTTTACTAATGAGTTAATCCAACCATCCTAAAGGTAATAATAGTTGAAAATATAATAACCATAATATAAGTACAATTAAACATTTTTCTTCATTAGTTCAAACTTAGTTCATCAAATAAATTCTGTAATTAATTAATTAGTTAATTAATTACACATAAAAGAAACAGAATGAATTTGAATTTATTTCAATTTTTACCATTTATACTATAAATGAAAGGAATCATATGAAGAGCTTCAAAGATTATTTCAAACTTTATGTTAAAAATCGCAGTATTATATTATTTTCCTTTATTTTGATGTTCATCTGATATTTAAATTGAAACATCTTTATAGTTTGCCCTTACTTAGCAAAATACATGATTTAAGATTATGGCCATTTTATATGTATGATTGATATCTCGATAGCCTGAGCCTTAGGTTTCAATTCTTGTTTTCATTAGATATAATATTTTCTCAACCTAACAGAACCTAAAACAGCGGTGATTAGATTTTAAACCTAGTTTGTTTTGATTTCTTTTCGATGTTTCTTAATCTAGCTTATTAATTATCAGTAAGATTATATCAATATTTTTGACCTCCTTTTCATCACATATCTTAATATATTTGATTTCCCATAGAAAAATTAGCCTCCATATTTCTCCATTATTAATGCGTAAAATCTGATTGGAAGAATTTNTGCGATATGCAAAGCAGTTCCTCTTTTTGATAAGTAATTTGGATCTTTAATATTTGCTATTAATGCTTAAACTAAATTAACATGTTATCTGTAGACAGCAATTGTCAGGCAATTCATTTGATTATCTGAGATTGCATCGACATTTGCCCCATTTTGTATTAAGAGTAATAAAATTTTCATATTACCTATCCATACTGCTAAGTGAATTGGTTAATATCTGATTTAGTAATTGATTATATCAATATTCTCACTTTTCGCTTATAAAATTAAGCTATTTATTAATTGAATATTATTTTAATTAATGGCTTTAATTAACTCAATATGCCGTTCTTATAGATTGAATGATTCATAACTTTCTTCAGACATTAAAAAATAAAATAAATAAATAAAATAATTAGTTTTATATTTTAATAAACTAAAAAAATTTAATAAGTTATATTTGATATTTGATTTAGTTGCTTGTTTTAAATAAGATGATGTTAATGCCATTAAGTTTGATGGATATTATAAGTCTCTCAAAATCTTATTGCAATCTTGCATTTCCCTATCATAAATGGTGTTAAAATTCCCATGTTGACATTTAAAACATATCATGGGGATAATATTTACTATCCTTTCAAATATTTGCTTTATGTTCTTTTTTTTACTAATGAGTTAATCCAACCATCCTAAAGGTAATAATAGTTGAAAATATAATAACCATAATATAAGTATCATAATATATGCTGAAATTGTTATACAATTAAACATTTTTCTTCATTAGTTCAAACTTAGTTCATCAAATAAATTCTGTAATTAATTAATTAGTTAATTAATTACACATAAAAGAAACAGAATGAATTTGAATTTATTTCAATTTTTACCATTTATACTATAAATGAAAGGAATCATATGAAGAGCTTCAAAGATTATTTCAAACTTTATGTTAAAAATCGCAGTATTATATTATTTTCCTTTATTTTGATGTTCATCTGATATTTAAATTGAAACATCTTTATAGTTTGCCCTTACTTAGCAAAATACATGATTTAAGATTATGGCCATTTTATATGTATGATTGATATCTCGATAGCCTGAGCCTTAGGTTTCAATTCTTGTTTTCATTAGATATAATATTTTCTCAACCTAACAGAACCTAAAACAGCGGTGATTAGATTTTAAACCTAGTTTGTTTTGATTTCTTTTCGATGTTTCTTAATCTAGCTTATTAATTATCAGTAAGATTATATCAATATTTTTGACCTCCTTTTCATCACATATCTTAATATATTTGATTTCCCATAGAAAAATTAGCCTCCATATTTCTCCATTATTAATGCGTAAAATCTGATTGGAAGAATTTTATATAAATTAATATTTCATAATTGATTAAACTATTTAAACATAATCATAACACCCACTTTTTATTTTATTCTTAATATAGACCTCAAGGTTTATCTTAAATGTATTTTTTTATTATATATCTTGTCTACACATTATACTATTTAAAATATTAGATTCTGTAAATATTTGGCTTAACTCAAAATAAACTTCTTAATTTAGGGTCAAATCTATGAGTTATAAAGCCGATATCTTTATTGATCCACTTTCTTATGGTGCGCATTTTATTCCTCTATTTGTTGGAGGATCCAAAAGGTTTTGATCTAAATATCAACTAATTAACTAATTGATAGATTCATTTTACAAAAAAATTTTAATTTAAATTATTGAATTGTGAAATCTAAACCTAACATTATAAAAAATATTTATATATGTCTTATGAAAACATATACAATTAGATCAAAAC